ATATATATATATATATATATATATATATATGAGGTGGGATCCTTCTACATCAAATTTTAACAATCAAACCGTTCAATTTAAAGTTCTTAATGTATAGATCAAATCTGCAAATTTTTAGAAAATTTGAAAATCATTTGATACTTCATTTCATTAATTCAAATTAACGGATAATCATAAAATCACTTTATACATTGATTCAAATTAATGAAACAAAGTATCAAATGATTTTCAAATTTTCTAAAAATTTGCAGATTTGATTTATACATTAAGAACTTTAAATTGAACGGTTTGATTGTTAAAATTTGATGTAGAAGGATCCCACCTCATATATATATATATATATATATATATATATGACTTTATGTTTAAGAAATGGGAAAATCCCAATTCCTTAGGCTTATAACTTAAAAAGTTAGTTGGAATTACAACAAGTTATGATCATTTGCATGTTCTTAGTTTTCTTGCACTTGCCTTTGAAGTTTGAACTGAGCATTCTCATAACATTTTCTTTCAGAACTAAGGTTGTTAAAGAAATCAAATCAAACAGATTTAGTTTACCGAATCCCAGGGGTTCAAGAAGGCTCTGTCATCAAGCACTGACACCAGAGGTTGGCCCCTGTTTTTCTTCTATATGTATTTTGATTTATTTGTATTTATTTAGTTTAAAATGAAGACTTCTCTTGTGAAAATTCTGATCTATGATGTTTGGTGTCACTGTTTTGGTATATAGTGGATTTCTCTTGTGAAAATTCTGCATCTAAGTTGCTACCTGTTGTAGTCATGCATTTTATTCTATGTTTAACACACTTGATTTCTTATCTTTTTTCCCCACTAAATATGATGGCTATTTTTGGTTCTGAATGTATAGGTGATGCATGTCTTTTTGATTGAGACCTTAATTGTGCATTTTTTTTCATGAATTAAACTGACTATTTGCTGTCCTGTTTTGTGTTTTTGTAGAATTTCCAGTCCCGTTTATGGTGGTGCTAAATTGCTTTCAACTAAAAAGGAAAAATAATGAAACTAAAATGGGATGAACAACTGAGCTCTGTGTCATCTTTCAAAATGTTAATCACACATGACCAAAATCTCTACAACTTTGCACAAAATTGTAGATTTAGAAAACACAGCTAGCAGAAAGCAGCTTTATCATCCTCCAGATTGAAAATCTTGATTCTTTATTGCATTTGGGTGGAGAATGGATTTGACCTTATTAGCCTCAGTATTTTCCCACATTAAAAAACTTGATCTTATCCCACCCCATTACAACAGAATCACTCCTACACCCCTCCTCACTGCCAATTCAGCTGTTAATTGCATAGTGGAGATAGCATTCCATTTTTTCTTAGTCATGACCCCTACTCCGTGACCTGTCGTCCTTCTCATATGCATTTTAGCTACTTTAGGGATCCTACCAATGCTCGCCCACTCACAACACAACTTGTCAACAAGTTGGAGTCAGGAAACTGGTTGTCAAGGATTGACAAAATCTAAGGAAATTGATCCGTAACTGTTTCACAAATGTTTTTTCTACTTTAACGTTTTGTCCCTCATCATGTGTTTTCAAGGGTCATTTTCTTTCTGTTGATTTAATTTTTGGACCTTGGAGGTGATGTGACCCTTGAACATTTTCCTTATTTGAAGATAATTCCCTAAACTTCTACTGTATATGTTACTCATTTCAGTACCAGAGTTGGAGTTTGGGGATTGATTTTAATATTTTTCAACGGGTGTGCCTTTTTTGTTAGTTGGTATTATTATGATTATTATTGGGAAAGCAGCTATGAAATGGATGTTACATTATTTGAAAAATGATTGATTGATGAGAATTGAGTTTTGATGCACTATTAAGTGAGCTTTAGGAAATAGTGGTTCAGAAATCTTGCATTAAACTTTGCATTTATGAGTAATTTTAGATTTTTGTTTTCCATTTAGACTCAGCTGCATCAATCTTTAATAAAATGTCACTTTTTCCCCCAAGTTATTTATTTGTGATCATATATATTTGTTTTTAGCATTACAGAGCTTTTGAATATTGATTGTTTCCACATATATTTTTCCTTGATATAGTTTAAAATTTATTTATTTTTGGTATTGCTAGTATAGTTTGATACTTTTTATCTCTTTTCTTGTACTTAGTGATGTGTCTAATTATTATGCATGTTTTCCCATTAATGTGTACCAAGGATGGAGTGAAGCATTAGGAATGGACCTTGTGGCAATAACAATAATAAATAAAAATAGATGAACTCAACATGAACGGTTGATAATACTAAGAGTTGATATTTAGTATGACACCTTGATTCTTTGATTCCCTAATCCATGCTAAGGAAGTACACCCTTTCTTCTTTGGCAAAGTATATGAATTTGTAATTTATATTTTGCACTGCATAGTTATCTGTATTTGCTAATATTATGCAGTAAAATTAATTAGTCTCCCATGATCCAATCCTAACGCCCTGACCTCCTTAGAATTTACATTTTGCTGTATAGTTTCATTCCTAAAGATGATATCATTTTTTTTTTTGGGAAAGCATTACTGTTGATTTGCTGGATATAAGTAGCAGCAGTGAAGCACCGTTTTTATTTGATGCTTGAACTATGTCATTTATGATACCTTATTTTTTGTCTCATAATTTGTTAATCTGTTTTTAACCGGGCATGAATTCGATCAATATGGTTATAATTTCTTCTTGCAAATAGACCTTAGATAACTAATTATGTAAGTTATACTTGTCGCAATTTTATTAAGTGTTTGACGTTCTTCTTTAGTAATGCAGATTTAATACTTCAATATTTCTGTTGAGCATGTATGTCCAGCTGTTGTTGCTTAAACTCTTCTTGGCACTAACTTATAATAAAATTTCTTCTTAAACAGGTTTATCTTTAAATCTTCAAGTCTCATAACATAACTGAACAGTTCAATGCAGAAAAGTACTGGAGATATTATAAGGCACTTGCTTGGGAGTTTATATTGTTATCTAAGAAGATGCATCTTTGCCATTTTATCCGTGGGTCCTGTACCAAATCATATAGCTTTCATCATGGATGGGAATAGAAGGTATGCAAAAAAAAGAAACATGAAAGAAGGTGATGGCCATAAGGCTGGATTTACAGCTCTCATGTCCATCCTTAGATACTGTTATGAATTGGGAGTGAAGTATGTAACTGTCTATGCATTTAGCATTGATAACTTCAAAAGGAAGCCTAAAGAGGTTCAGACCTTGATGGAATTGATGCGAGAAAAGATTGAGGAGTTGCTTCAACAAGAAAGCCTTATTAATGAATATGGTGTTAGATTACATTTCATTGGAGACCTGCAACTATTGACCGAGCCTGTCAGGGCCGTTGTGGAAAAGGCAATGAGAGTTACTGCCCACAACAATCAGAGAGTTCTTTTGATTTGTGTAGCCTATACTTCTCGTCACGAGATTGTGAATGCTGTTCAAGAATGTTGCAAGGAGAAATGGAATGAAGTTAAAGTATCAAAAGAAACAAAAGTTACCAATGGGGCATTTGCAAAATTTGATCACAGCATGAAAGGAAATGCTTTTGATTTGCTTTTACAAGATTCATGTACAGACTATCAAAATACAACCAAAGCTTATAGTAATGGAGTGGAAAGTGCTGGAAAGAAAGATGGTGTCTTTGATCATAATGTTGAAAAACATGCAGTTGATCACATTGATGCTGAAATCACATCATGCACTAAGTTGGTTGAGATGAATAAAGCGAGAATGTACAAGCAGGGTGAGGTTATAAAACTGGTGGATATTGAGAAACAAATGTACATGGCAGTAGCACCTGACCCAGACATCATGATCCGAACTTCTGGAGAGGCTCGACTCAGTAATTTTCTTCTTTGGCAGACTAGTACCTGCCCTTTGTATGCACCAACTGCGCTTTGGCCTGAAATAGGTCTAAGACACTTGGTCTGGGCAGTATTGAACTTTCAGAGACACCATTTTTATTTAGAAAAGAAAAAGAAACATTTTTAACTGTATCCTTATTGGCCAAAATTTCAGTGTGAAGTTATGTGATGGAGGTTTCATTTTTATTTTTTTGACTAGTTTTTGCTCTTTTCTCTTTACAAGGGTTTGTAGTATATAATCATAAGAAAAAGAAAAACATTAGATAATAGAATATGATATTGATGTGTGTGCAATGATGTCTTATAAAATACAATGCACCGATCCTTATTTATTATAAGAAATACTATAAATATGAACTACAATGCACCCATCCTCTTTTAAAATATTTTAAGAAACAGTGTAATAAATTACGACTTTTTAAAATAATTTATTCAAAATCTATACACTTTTCATACTTGATACACGCTGGTTGGACACCTATAATACATTGTTCTGCACTTGGCACTTGACAGGATTACGAGGGTATAAACTGTTGAGAGGTTAAGACACTGGTTTTGGCAGTTTTGGACTTTCATTTGCACCATTTGTATTTGGAATAGGAACGGACAACAACAAACAAGAGTTAGTCGTAAGATTTAGCTGAAGTCACAAGGTAAAATCATGCAATGACACATTGCATCTTTTTTAACCATTTTATGTTTTTATTTTTCCTTGTAACAAACGTTTTATAGCCGTCTGTAAAGGCACTCACAAGAAAAAAGTTTGCCACTAAAGGCACTCACGAGACAAAGTCTGCCACTTGATGTATATGCAAATATATATATATATATATATATA